CTTTTTTACCTACCTCCTTCGTTATCACCTTCGTTTCAACCTTGAAAAATCGGCCAAGTAAAAGAGAAACTCGAACGTTTGAGCGGGTTCGCTCTCGATCTTCGACCCGCTCACAGATGAGATTCTGCGCGTGACGTCTAACCGACGCACACGCGGTAATATTCATCGATCTTACGATGATCGATCAGCAAATTGGATTCGACAATAAAGCGTACACCGTTTCGCTTTATCTACCCGTGAAATTATTTTTACGACAAATAGATAGTCGAGCGCGGCTAATCACCGGTATCGCGTGTAATTCCTATCCACTCGCGTGTTCCGAGTTCGTATACCCGCCCTAATGACATGCATTAATAACGTGCTCGATGATCGGCCGCCACGGAAGATTTATGCGATCGAAAAACCGGGGAAAACACCCTCCACGTTGAAAAATATCGCCGTCCCTGTCCCTCCTTCCTTGCCTTCCCGCTGTTTCGACCGTTTTTTTCCTGCCCTCCCCCTCCCCCCTCCCCCTCAAGTAATCAATCTCGATGTCGAGGATGGAAAACTTGGAACGAGTTGGTTAAAAACGGTTCCGAGTATTTCTAAACGAAAGAAAGGAAGCATTTACGAGACTTTCGGTCTTCCTCTCGGGAGGGAGGTCACTATTCTCGTCGCAAACGAAAATAAAAGAGCGAGACACGCGGAAGAAAGTTGGACACGCCAACAATTAAACCGGTTTACTTATTGTCCCTAACATTATCCTATATATATATATATATGTATATACAACGAAGCGCATTAGCATATCGTGATAGCGATGGCGGTGATGGTGTATAGAAGGGAGGGGAAGGATGGAGAGCAAGAGAAGTTGGACACGCGAGCGAATCTTCAGAGCCTGTCTTCTTCTTCCTCTCGTTCCTCTCCTCTTCCCTACTCGAAAGGAGTATCGTAGAGAGATTTGCACGATTTTCGCTGGTAGCAGCACGCCCTGCCACACACTTTCCGCCCGTGACACACAGTGGCGGCGTACGTCGCGACGCGTCGTGGCCGACGCGAGCTACCCCTTAACACTACACCCACGTTGACCCGGCCTCGTGTCGGTGAGCGAGCGTTGGTGCATGTGCCACGCTCCGTGTGTCGCGAGACGACGGTTGTACGTGTGCGCGGACCCTGTCCGTGGACCCTCTGCGCGTTTCCACCATCACAGGAGGTGGATCGGAAGCGCGCATGCTCCCACGGCCAAGAATCACCCCAGTCAGGGTGAATCTGCCACCGAATCAAGACGTGGTGCGTGTCGTGTCGTCCTATATAACATGTCGCGCACATAGACGCCAAGGTTTCTTCCTCCTCTTCTTCTTCTTCTTCTTCTTCTTCTTCTTGTTCTTCTTTTTTTTTTTCCCTTCCCGCCCCTCCTCTTCCCCCCCCTCCTCCCTCCTCGCGGAGGAAATTCGCTCGCTCGCGAAATATCATCCCTCGGCGCGGCGAAATGAGGCGAGACGGAGAGAGAAGGATCGTACGTGGAACGTTCCCTCAGACTCGGCCCTCGTCGTGTGAATAGTGCTCGTGTGTTCGTTGTCGATCGGAGGATCGAGGGGGAAAAAAGGGGATCTGGATCGCGGATGGAACGATCGTGGAACAGATATGGAACACGTGCGACGACGATGTTGAAATTGTTCCACGACGGGAAGTTGTTGCGCCGCGTTCCACGACGGTTGATCCGTTAGGCCCTAAACGGAGGGGGCCCAATACGGGGCGAACGAGGAAGAGAATCTTTTCACTTTCGACCGATTGAGCGATTCGGGAAGCTTCGGCGAGTCGTCCAACTTTCAACATGCAACGATATCGAGAGGAGGAAGGTCTGGAACCATGGTTAACGACGTTCTTCCCGTCCACGCTCGGTGCGATGAACGGCGCCCTCGTTTGATCGTAGCGCGTCCCTTGAAAGGAATTACGAAATACCTCGACTTGTCTCCGACATGGAGTAAAAATTGTCGCCCTTCCCCCGTAAATTTCGCCGCCACCCTGCTCCACCGAAAGTGGAGGAGGTGAACGACTTTCAAGGATCGATACTCCCGATTGGAACTCGGTGCCAGTTACCAGGCGGTAAGAAGAGATCGGCGGATCGTTGGATCGGAAGAACGTTCGTTCGTTTCCGACCCGCCTTTTCCTCTCGCGCCTCTCGAGAAACTTGACTCGCCGTCGACCGTCGATCCGCGGCGCGTCCTCCTCCGTTTCTCCTTCCGTTTATTAATCTCGCGGCCACGTTTCTCATCCCACCCATCGAGCGGGATGCAATTTTACGGGAAACGTAAGCGAGGACGAGAGGCGTGATTCGAAGGGCGGCGATTGAAACGGAACTCGAATAATCCGCGCCGGTGTGCCCGTGTTCATCGTGGACAGTGTTGTTGTTGTTGTGGACCGATTTTCCCGCGATGTCGACGCGACCGCGATAAGGATTACCCATCGCGGTATCGACACGTCGACGGTGTATGCACGACGTGGTGTCGTCCGACGAAGAGGATGTGAATCGCGCACTGTATCAAAGTGAACGCGCTTATCAAACAATCGCGGACATGGCTTTGAGGTGGCAGGCCAGGCTTTCCATTGCTGCCATACTCTTCATGTGTACGGAAGGTAATTATGAAATAGCAATCGAAAATCGAATCTAATCGAAGGTGGAGAATACCCGCCCGGAGCTATTGGCTCGAGATTTAACCGGCCGATCTAACGGCCGGGTAGAAGTTATTCGATTGAAAACGTAACATCAATCGGGCTGCTAATGGAATTACCGGCGTGCACGGGTGCGTGCGACTCGAATTCATCGTATGCATTATTCATAAGTCAGCTGTCTGTGTTGGCCCTAGCTTGTTGGGCAACGGTGGACAGGGAGAGAGAGAGAGAGAGAGAAGTACAAGTTTTGCTTCTCGATGGAAAACGAGACACGATGATCGTCGACTCGCATGGTGGTCGAGTCCCCCGTTAATATCGATCACGTTAAACTAATTACGCGAAGTGGCGCGACGTGGTGCGCCTCAGATACGTATACGGAGAAGCCAAGCGCGATCCTCCTCCTCCTCCTCCTCCTCTCCGGAATGAAGCGCGACCGCTATTCCTCTCTCGACGCCCCCCGACTTCCACCGACTCGACTTCCACCACTCTACGTTTCACACACCCCGTTTACGTTATTGTCGACGGTTCACACGCGTTCACATGGCTGGATATTGTTCCAAGTTTGATCTTGGAGGATCGTCGCGTCGTGACTGTGGTGTTTTCGCAACAGTGTTTTCGCTCGCGTGTTTCGTATTTGAAGAAGGATCGTTGGAAAGAAAGTATATTTCGTCGAACGCGATTCTGCACTCGAGTCGATCGTGTCGTAAGAATTGCGGCCCCCCCCTCCCCCACTATTTTTACAATTCGAAATCGTGGAAGAATCGGTTAAGCTTTACAACTTTACTCCTTCGTAATCATTGAATCGGGGATTTGTGTTACGTTGTAACAACCGGAACGAAACGAGTTAGCCGGAAATACGGAACCGGCGTTAATCCGCTGGGTATTAATACGTTGAAAATGGTTGAAATTAAGCCGCGCGCATTCTCGGTTATGAAACGGCTCCGCGGAGGGTAACAAGTTTTCTCGATTAGTCCTTTCGTTCAGTTTGTCTTCCTTGCCTCGTGAACGAGCCCGCCACGTTTCCACGACGCTAATTTCCATCGTAGGAAATCCTCCCTTATACACATCCCGATTTTAATACGCGAACGTGCCTCGCCTCGAATGCATTCGCCGAAAACGCGAATACATTTTGCGAAAGATTACACGCGTAACGGGTAATTATAACGCGAGTCTTTCTTTCTTTCCTTTTTTTTTTTTTTAATTCCAAAAACGATTAATAGAGACGAGATCTCGACGTCGTTGTCACCTTTATCAAGTAAAAACTCATTAAACTAATCCCTTTCCTCCCCCTCCTTCTCCCTCTCTTCACCCCTCCCCCCCCTCCCCCCTCGTTCCGTTAATTCGATTACTTTGCGGGTTCATTGACACGTTCATGATCGCGATTTGATTAAATTCACAGTCGAGTTCGTTTTACACGGTTGGCTTTAATTACAATTAAAACGAAATATTATAGCGGCAAACTTGCTTGTTAATTACGCCCGGTTATCTCATTTTACCGTATTTTACCGTATTTGACGAGGATCAACTATCGTTATTACAAAGTTGTTGCAACTAGTTGTCTCGTCTTATTATCGTCGGGATCGGTTCTCGGCTAAGATCGTACGAGGTGGTGATTTGAAATAAAGCTAATAATCCGCGTGCTCGGATTCGATGCATTTTAACGCGTCCCGTTATTTTTACGCGCCGATTTCGAGCGGAATCCATCCGTAACCGGATAACGGAACGGCATTACGCGCAAGGAAAAAAATTTTTTCCATCGGTGTGATGAGAGGGGAGACAGAGAGAAAGAGAGAGAAACAAAAAATCCTATTTTCAAAATTATATTTCCGGAATAGAATCGTAGTAGAATGCGAAACGTGATTTCGAAAATAGAGAGAGAGAGAGAGAGAGAGAGAGAGAGAGAGA